GCATTGTATCTAGGGTGATCGACTCGATTTTTCAACCGGTTTTAAAACCGGTTTTTTCTGCTTTACCAGTGTCGGTTTTTTCTTAATGTTGATTTTTCGAATATCGAATAACCCGGTTTTTTCACTTTTTAAAACCCGGTTTCGAATACTTTTATTTGCTTTGTATTCAAAGATTATTTAAATGAAATTTTTAAGTAAATAATAATACAGCCCGTCTAAATTTTAAAAATATTCGAGTCGAGGAACTAGAGTATATTTTTCTACAGCTCTTTTGTTTAAACTTTTTTGATTTTCCTAATTAATTAAAAAAAATTATTTGTAAAATGGATAACTGTTTGATAAAATTTAGCAATCTTAAGATTATATTCCAATTACAATAATTAATTTACAGCTGAAATTTTATGGAAGTGTTGGAATGCCTATGCAAATTTCCTAAACAGGGCTTTTAAAATAAGCTAGGATTACATAGTACCTTATGTTTAACAGAAGTGTCCTACTTTTTTCCTAATTTTTTTATATTAAAGAAATAATGTAAATCAGACGACTAGATCTAAAGTTATAATCTTTTAAACTGTTAAAAATCATTTCGGGCCATGTTTTATTAATCAAATTTAAACATAAACATTAAGTTTTTCAAATTAAAATATATTTTTTTGATTGTAATGAAAAACCGGTTAACCGGTTTTTTCTGAATTTGAAAAATATCAACCGGTTTTTTTTAAATGTCAACTATTCGAACTATTCGAAAACCGGTTTTTGGAAAATGTCGAATAATCGATCACCCTAATTGTATCTCAATATTGAAGTAAAGAAAAAACATTTTTCAGGAAACTTTTCACTTTTGCGACTTACCTATCATTCCTAAGAAGTTCATATGTTCTAGAAAGTTGTTTATTGAGATCCTAGGTACATTTTTGTAGTTGATTGTTTTCTTAAATTTTTATCGGTTTGCCACTTATAGACCTGAACAAGGAAAAAATTTAAAAACAAATTTAATTTTTGCGATTCTGATCATGAAGATAACGTTTTTTTGTCATTATATGTTCACAATTTTGGTTCTTTGTGATAAGAGCAACAACATTCCCTCAGAGAGTAAATCAAAATTCCGAACGGTTTGCAAGATATCAGCCTGAGAAAATGATCACTTTTTTCAAAAATGACACCGAGGCTCCAAATCTTTGGGGGCCTATAACTAAAAACGTGCATGACTTTGGGCAAAACTAGAGGACACGGGTCTTCTTATTTTTGGTCTTTTATCATATAGTGGTGTCCGTATATGGTTATTTTTTTTCGTGTTGCACCGTGTAATTTATCTTCTAGAAGTACCGGAGATAGAAGCAAGAACAGATTAAAAGCAAAATGTCGGGTATTTTGCAATTAGTGTTGTAAATAAAAATGAAAAAATACACAAGATTGTGATTTGGCTCAAAAAATGTATCATTATATAACTATTTTTTGATTAATCGTTAATGGCCTAATATGAACATTATTTTTGCTAGAAATGTATCCAATCCTCATTGGCAGTATTGGATATACATACATATATTTTATAAGCTTCACAATTAGTATCCAAATGTTTAAAAAATTTCAATTTCAAGTTTATAATTAACAGATGGTGCTACCTATGCTCTTTAAAGTTTGCAGTCTTACGCTTGTATTTATAAAAAAATCTTATTTTGATTTTAATGCACTCAATAGTTAAAGCACACTTTAGCCTTAAAAACCATTAATAAAATTATGATATTCATAAACAAATAATAAACGTATATTAACTATTGTGCTGATTTATGTTTAAGTTGGCAGCACTGTACAATATGGCTGTCATTTTATGTGTTAGTGTTGCGTACAATTAGGATAAAATATTCGTTGATTCGGTTTTCTTAATTTCATATTTTTGTTTATAATAGATTTTTGACAATAAAAACAAACTTTTAAGAAAAATAAATATATATATATGGCTTTAATAAATGTCTATATAGTTCAGATGTATAAATATACCATATAATTTCTAATTATTATTAAAAGTATCCGAATAACGGATATTTTGCGACAAAATATACATCACTATAACACATTTTCTTATTTTTACTTATTTTCCTTGTAATTTTTGATAAATTTTTGCAAATATTGATAAATTTCTTTGATATTTGACTAATTTTAATGCCGGCGAATATATTTTGCATTAGTATAACACTAATCAATATAATTTACATGGTTAATTACTTTATGGCATTATATTTAACCAACAAACTTTGAAAAAGCCAAATCAAATGATTTTGTCCATCATTTGGTTGACAGACGGGCATTTCCAAATTGCCTAAAAATAGTGCTGGACAATTGGAATATTGTCAAATATTCATGCATTAATCCAATAATGCCTAGATTTGAGTTTTTTCCTCAAAATATAATCGTTTAAAAATTTTCTGGGATTTTATTTACAAATTTGTAAACGTTAAAATTAGAATTTTTAGATTTTATTTTAAAAGAAACCATAATTACTTTTCGCAATCAACCTAAAATTACCGGAAAAATCTTTATCTGAGAAAAAAATTGTTAAAAATCAAGTTATTGTTGGCTTAAAGAAGGGTCGAGCCTACAATAAAATTCTTCTAATTGTCAATAGTTTATTGAAGGTGTTTTAAGCTATTTCACGTTTATAAATACGATTTTCCTGAATTTTGCCTAAAATTGTTTAATAAACCTAAAATAAGTTTTTATAAATACAGCCGTTATACTTTCGAATATTGTTAGTACGATACTATTAAAAGTTAATTAAAAAATATTACTTGGAAAAATTGCTGAGATTTAAGTTCAGCCCCATAAGAGCAATTCAAGTGATAACTATTAAGTTTTCCAAAAAAATATTTTTGTATTTTATAGCTTCTTGAAATGCTTATTCTTTGTTCATTACGATTCATTAAGTGCAATATAGATTATTAAATGATAAAAATGTTGTAAAAACTGAAAAAAACTAAATTTGACCTTGTAAAAGCACCACAAAACTTCAGAAATGTTGCTACACCTGTTAACGTTATCTTATCATTGTTTTATTGTGTTGGGCAAATTCTGGCAATAGAAAGCGATCGAAACCTCAATACAATCTTAACTCCAATGTTATTAAGTCGAGGGCATCCTAGGAAATGAAATATCTGATGTCCTTGCGCAAAGGGATATTCACACTCCTTTGGTGACCCTATCAAAATTGGGCTTTGAATGAGACGGAACTCATTCAAAGCCACTTGTAGAATATTAAGACTGCTTTGGCCCACTCTGACAACGGGTAGGATTAGGACTCTCTTATCTTTTAAGAAGAACTCGATTAGGCTTCTCACTGGTATAATTACTGGGCACTGCATGATTGGACATATGTCGGAACGTATGGGCTACCCACGTTATGCCTACTGCAGGTGTTTGGACGAGGAAGAAGATGAATTGGTACAACACCTTTTATGTGACTGCCCAGCCTTACAAGAGCACAGACTACTCTATTTAGGCAGAGCTCTTTTCCATGATCGGGACTGTCTCAGAGATGCGTCACTAGTAAACATGATCAGTTTCATTAGAAATGCCGACTGGTTTTCACGAGGACCGCAAGAACCAAGTAGTCAAAGAAACATAAGGTAATGGCAATTCTAAGGATATCACAAAGGGCCACAACTAGCGAGCAACCCACGTAACCTAACCTAACTGAATCAACATATTGAAGACTAATGGGACTGTTATATATATATTATTAGACAAACTGCGATAAGCTTATTATTGAATTAGGAAATGTGTCCTAACGTCATATTCCGGGATACCAGTATCCCATATTTAATTGTATAGCAGAGCATTATCATTTAAGACTAATAATAACAAACTTTTAGTTCAGTATATATGTATGCAATGAATTTATGGGGCTTAGCTTCGTTCTGAAAGCAGAATATGGTTTGTTAATGGTATTTATCGTTCGTATTCGTGGACTCCTAAGATTTTCCTCAACACCTACCTGAGGATGTACCAATCGACTTAAAATCACTTTCTGATTCAATTTAATGATGTTTGTCTGTAAACATCAACGGATGATAACTCAGCAATTCAGGACACGATATCTCGGATTCAGCGCAATTCAACCCCTTGGAAAAATATACATACATATGTATGTACATTGGTCTCTGAGTTAAAAATTTATCGGCCTGTGTTATCATTTATTTAAAATCTCTTGCACTTAATTTAATTTCTGTAAGTATATTTACATACATCGGAATAGGTATACAAATGTATGAATATATTTTATACAATCATACATACTAACTTAGTCGAAATTAAAAGAAAACTGACAATTATTTACACGTAACAATTTCATTTCAGCCTCTTATAATAAACATTCCCACCCTCTTTATCTCTGTCACTCTCTTGCTCGTTCCTATACATATGTACATACATACATATACTAAAATTTGTATCATACATACGAACATACTACGTACATAAAATGTGTGAATGTACTCGCATGTTTGTTAGTTAGACTGCATTGTTTTGATATTCCCTTTTATGTTCACGCCGTTTCTGTTATTTGTTATTGTTTTTGTGTTGTGTGGTGTGTTGAATCTTGACCCTACAAAAGTGGTGTATAAAAACACTCAATTGGTTTTATAGCACGTCTCCAACTGGAATCTAGTTCTCACTCATGCCCATGAGTCAGACCTTTGGGCAGTCAGAGCAGACAGGCAGCCAAGCAGTCATTCAGCCAGTCTGTCTACTACCGTTTGGGTATAGTTTTGAATATTATTTTTTTTTTTTTTGCTTTTTTTTTCATTTTTATATAAAAATGTATGAAAGTGTGTTTAATGTGTTTGTGTATAAAAGCACACAATGAACGTTTGTATGTATAAATGTGTCTGTCCCCTTACACAAACTTACAAACAAACAAACAAGCAAACACTCTTTCCGAAACTCATGGGGTTAGCACCAATTAAGCACTTCTCTCGTCACCACATTCAGTTTTCGTCGTGTATGTGTTTCGAATTAACGCTGTTACCTTTTTGTTCGGATACACAAAAATGTTTTTATTCAGAAGCGTCGGCATTTTCATAATGTATCTATAAAGTAAAAAATCCTACATACATACATATGTATATACATAAGTAAAAGATCATATAATTAAAAGTGTACTTACATACATATGTATGTATATTCATACATATGTACATACATATGATATGTACGCAATAACTGTTCATAGATATTTGTAATATTCATATAAAAAAACATCTTTTACCTTAGAATTTAAAAATAATCATATTTAGAATATTAAAAAAACTACATAAGTAAATTATCATTAAGCCTCGCAAAAAAACTCAATTAATTGTGAGATGTTCGTAAAACATAAAAATAAAACTTAAACAATTTCTTATTAAACGAACGAACTTTATATTTAAATCAATATTTTATGAAATAAACTAAAAAATTATAGTACGGCTACAGAAGTCGAATGCATCTACAAGCACCCGTGTTGGATTGGACATCTGTAGACGTCATTTACATAGGTCAACGTTTTAAAGCATAACATATGCTGATGTGAGTGTTATGTCAACTATACTGTGAATTCTTCAAATCAAATAGAAATTCAAGCGGAGTATGGAATCTCCCCCAAATCATTCCATATCTGCCTCCATAACAAATGGCAATTCGAACAGCAGCAGCTGTGAAGCTGTAAATTTGATTAATTCGCATATATCTATGATTGGTTTAAATCCATTGGCTTCAAGTGCATCGCAACCATCTCAGCCACCACCGCAGACACCAACACTTCCAATACCACTTCCTTCATCAGGTAAATATTAATTCATCCGTAAAATTTTATAAGAAAAATAAACAAAACATTATCTTAATTAATTAAGCAATTAAAATTGTTTTATGGGAATTTGGAAAAAAATATATCAATTGTATTCAGCCGTCGGAAAGTTAAATATTTAATTTTGCTATTTATTACAAATTTACATACATATATTGTTCTGAAAGTTATAAATTCATTAAATAAGCTTTGTTTATATATATTTATTTACTAAACAATTTCAGTTGGAACAAACGAACAATTTGGGACAAACACATGAAAAATAAATTATGATTCAGGAGGACGTAACATAATATTACAGTTATTTTTTACTATACAAACTAGCTCTAAAAAATATTCAAAATAAAAAAAATCGTTGCACAATAACCTATATCTATTTAAAATATCAATTTTAAAGTTTAAGTTTAAAAGCTTTTTTAGTTTCACATAAACGTTAGTTTTATCAATATTATATGGTGTATTAAACATGCATCTTAAAAATCAAAGATATTGACAAAAATTCTAAATCATCTATCAATTTCGGTTTAGATAAAAGTTATAGTATACTTACATATCGTTCCTGTTTTGAATATTCGTACTATGAAGCATTATTAAAGTGTGAATAGAGATTTTATTGTTGTACCCGTGATACTGTGTATCTAAGCAGAATACGTACCATTTTACAAAACTCCGACTTGCTCTTTCTGAAAAGGCTTCCTCTCCTGCTCTCCTTAGGTTCGGATTACTCATTGCGGTTATACTCATTATATCATTCTAAAGGATTCTCATGCCCACATTTTTAATTCAGCCCTCATATCGCCGGACAGTTTTGCATCCGTTAGGTTCGCTATGTTAACCATCCTACAAAGCTGGTTCCCTTCCCAATAAAGCAAATACATTCGCTCTTTCGTAGCCGACTACTTACCTCATTCGGTGAAAGCTTTCTTAAAGTCCAATACGGTCTTATATTTAACATTATCGCCATAATTGCTTTCTAAATATTAACCTTTTTTGAGGGTTAATATTCTGGTTCTTCAATATAGAACTCTAGGGCCATTTTATCTTCCAGTTTAGAGCCATCCATGGAGCTTCGAATTCCTACGGATATTTGCTCTAAAGTTCCGCTTAACAATGACATTCTATTTGGGATCAGTGTTTCGATGTCTGTGTTTGGCTTTCAATGTGTCCTGTATACATTGATCATATGCCCTATATAACCTTTGGTCAGTTCGCTTAAGGTTAAGAGCCGTTCGGCAGTAAGTACTTTTTATATGTTTAAATGGAACCAAGACCTAAGGAACCTCGGTTAGGCTCCTTAGGAGGTTATTACTCATGGTTAACCAGAGTAAAGGGGACAAAATTACCCCCTGTGGTGTACCGCGAAAGACCCTTTTCCTTATAGTTATGTCGTACATCTTGCAGCTCATACATATGTTCCTTAACATGTTACTGATCCAGTATAAGAGTATCAGTGAGCACGTTATTGAAGGTTACTTCGATACAGTTTGCATCGAAGGATTGGCCTATATATTGGACAACTTCATTCATGTTGGTTTCCACCGATAAGCATGCTGCTTATGTTTGGGGTATTTGTCTTTTTAACCATGCTATTTACTAACCGTTCCAATGTTGTAAGTGGGAAGCAGGAAAGGCTTTTCGGTCGATAGGGCTTTAGTGTCGCATAGTTTGATTTTCCCTTGCATCCTGTCATTTAATTCAATACTTCATATCTTTCAGTCTTGTGAACGTTTCTACTTTGGCGTCTACATCCTCTATATTTCGACATTGAAAAGTGTTCCGTCCTAAACGTTTCTTTAGTAAGATGCCGAACATTGTCGAATTAGTTTTAGACTTATTCCGAAACTTAATCGGCTTCGGTCGTGGCCGTAGTATTTTGAATCTTATGTACCGATAGTCTGAAAAGGAGAGCTCTTCCAAAACTCTCCAATCCTGAATTTCGTTTATATGTAGTTATGTCGACGAAAGTAGTTTTATTACCTAAGTAGTTTTATTACCTTCAGTGTGATCAAGTCTTTAGTTTTAAATAAATTCACAGAAGAGTGCGCAAACAGATACAAGGTATATGTGCAACGCCCCTTTTTTATCAACATTGCATCCGATGTTTATAACCCAGTTGAGAGGAAAATCATACGTTCTTGTGACATAAGATACATGATATCGGGAAAAATCCAGAATTAAAGGCCTTGTTTCGAATCGTCTTGGGTTAAAGCTTAAATCTTAACAATGTTTATTTTAGCTATCAGAGTGTTGCACAGTGGTATGGGTTCATACATTTTTTTGCAAAAGTAGTTGTGCTCCTATGATATTTAATTTTTGTACACTGACTAGTTTTATGTATAAAAGCTACATATCAAAAATGGTTGAAATCGGTGAGTCCCTACGGGTACCTCCAGTCCACATTAGGGTTCTTTTCTGAAATTAGTTCTATCGTTAAGAGCTCGCATAAAAGTACTATTATAGTGATGAATTTCGACATAAACAAGTTTTATATGAGAATATCAATTTTCGCGTAACAATAGTTGTTTTCGAGCTAGAGTGCATTAGTTTTTCATTGCAGAGAAATATTAATATTTTTAACGCTGATACAGATTATGTCGCAATTTTTCTTTCTGGTATTAGCTAATGATACGTATTTAATTTCTGTTATATCTTTTATCACAACAATCACTCTCTGGTCTATAGTGCAATGTCCGTCTATCCGAAATTTTTTACTTACATTTGGAAATTTAAAAATTGCTACAAAATAATTAAAGATAAAGTCTGATTTTAATAAAATTTGCTGGGAATATTACGCTAAATGTGTAGATTATGACCAACAATTTTTTGAATTCATATCATAAGTATGACCTGTGGCACTGTCTGAAATTATGGATTGACAGACATTGCACTTAAGGTGGAAGTACACAACACATGTTGTACGCGGCAATGTGTTTTAGGCTTCTGTCAAAAAAAGTTTAAACAATGAATTTTCATTTAGCAAGTTGCACATTGTAATTTGTAACGCGTCTGCCGCGATAAGTTCAGCAACTTTCAACTTTTGACGCGTCGGCAGCTGATCAGGGTTGTATTTTGTTTTGTGTAGAATAAGAATAAACTAAAATTAAATAAATTTCTCCAACAATGGAATAAAAATATTAAAAAATATACAAAAACTTAAAATTTTGATTTTTAAAACAGTAATATTTAGTCTTAAAAAACATTAAAAGAAAGATCGAAATGACGCGTTGTGTGTAACTTGCAGCTTATAAAGCGCGAAAAGTTTGAAAAGCGTGAAACGCGTTGCCACCTCAGCGCGTGTTGTGTACTTCAACCTTAAGATCATAAAGCGATTGTTAGATGAAACTTATAAAGACCCATTTCCATTATACTACAAGTAATATGATCTGTCAAAATATTGTGTAGAAGAGAGCGGATAGGATAGTCTAAACGCAATATGTAATGAAACCATCACACATTGAGATAAAATACGAATGGATGGAAAATTTGACAATCGTATGGCTCTCTTCATTTTTTGAAATGATTCAAAAAGCAAGCATTAGATCAAGGATGTATCCATTCCACTTTGTTATTGTCTTATACCAATAGTGTAAACGCAAAACATAAAAATCATTCGATTTTTATTCTCTTTACTAAAATACGGATGGAATTTCATTTGATTTTTCATACGTAAAGTGTACAATATGTTAAAAATAAAAATTCTGCAATCTTTTCGAAATGGGTCACAAAAATTACGTAATTTTCAGCTTACCGCTGGAAATCACTAATTTTTTTAGACTATTTCTGGTTTGCAAAGCGACTTTTAATGCATTATAAGGGGCAAATAATTTCCAAAATAATCTAAAAAATTCCGAAAAGGACCAATCCAAATGCTAAACAATTTTCAAATATTTTTCTCTCTGGTAGGAAACTGGAGGAGCCCCTTTCAAAAAATATTTTTTATTTTTCTCGTATTCAGTAAATTAATAAACATGGATTGAGAGGTATTCTTACAAGAGATTCTTAAAAATGCTATTCCTCGGGACACTCTAATGTTTTCATATAGATTTATCAAATTTCAAATATGTTTGTTATTTTACGATTTTTTTGTTGTAAACGTAAAGACTAAAACTCAGGTTTTCACGAAAATTAGATAAATAAAAATTAAATTTCAACTTTGAAATTTGAAATTGAATATTATATAATTTTTCAAATCCTTTGTTTTGTTTAGAAATTATTTAAAAAATAGTAAATTGTCATTAAACATTCAAAGCCACTTTTCTCAAAACCACTTTTTTTTAGATAATGCTGGTCTAGGTATGTATGTTAAACCGGTTTAACCCTTTTAAAATATCTAAATACCGAAAACAGGGTTTTCCAAAATGATAAAATAAACATTAATCTCCAAAAATCGGTTTTTGAAAGAAGTCGAAGAATTGGTCTCCGTAGACGTGGTACAAATTGCATTGTGACTTTTTCATAAATCTGGTAACACAACACCGTATAAATTCCTCATTCAAGATCCACAAAAATGACAAAGTATATTTGTGCTTCAGAATCCAATTGGATACAATAAATTTCCTATTAGGATTAGGATTAATCTCACTAAAATCTTAGTAACTAGCCACTCATAGAGGGCGCTGTTTCAGCTGATTTTAAATAGTTTTTGTTGAAAACCTATTAAAAACTCGATATGCAGCACAGTGTTTTCATAATGCTAAGCATTCATATATGTATGTAAGTATCAAGAGCAATAAAAATGTCACAAAATAAACAAAAACATACATATTTTATGTACATATTACAGTCAAACTCGTTTATAACGAACTCCGGGGGACCAGTCAAATTTGTTTGTTATAAGCAATGTTCGTAATAAGACGGGTGAAGTTTTTGTCGTTCCAAAAATAAAGTGGCATTTTACGAAATTAAGAGAATATGATTTGTAAATTTATTTAATGTTCTCTACAAAAAAAACACTGTTGATGTTATTTGTTCATATATTT